ATGTGTGCCCAGCAGGTGTTTTTGGGTCTACTGGTGTATACTTTGGTGTGCGTTATTCGACGGTCGCGTTTCGTGGATGCCATGCGAGTGCCCGATCCGTAGTCGGACACTTCCAGTCCATCGACTCTCTTCGTTGTTTTTGGCCGCCGCCCCACCTCGGTTTGTCTTGGCCAGGTGCCCGCCAACCTGCTCCCCTCGCTTGTAGGAAGAGAAGTAAATCTCTCTTCGGCGAGGAAGGAGCGAGAGGGTATTCCGCCGCGGAAGGAGGATGGCCTCGAAGGGGACGAAAACCAAGGCTCAGAAGAGACGGGAGGCGTGGGACAGGCGATTGCAGGCCAACAATGTGAGAGGAGACGGCGGGCCGTGGCAAGCTGGTAGTCGGCCATGTGTTATCCAACGCCGCATGAGCGACGGCACAACAACCTGAACATACACACACGCAAATTTTTCGAATTTCGATCGCGTTCCAGGGACCTTGATGTTTTCCCCGCCGGCACTGACGTCTTCTCATTGGTCAGCCGGTAAGCGCGGTCGATGCTGACTAGTAGAGACACACACACGCACACAAAGCGTTATTTGTGTTTTTTACCCCGCTACCAGACGCAACGTCTTTTCATTGGTCAGCCGGTTAGCGCGGTCGGTGCTGACCCATAAGACACACACACGTGCGTTCGTTTCGTTTCTCGATCTATGCCTCGTTTTTGTCGAGACGATTTAAGATGACATGCTGTGTGCTTGCGAGGATTTGTCCCTTTTCCCAGACCGTTATCGGCCGAGGACAACGGTAGAGGCTAGCCTCCCGACGTGGACCAGCACTCCCGCGGTACTGCGTTTTGTTCAGGGAGAGCGAGCAATACTAGGGAAGGTGGTCCGTCCACCTCCCTCTTTCTTGGTACTAACCGTACCCCTACACCCTAACCTCTGCGTGCGACCAGACACCACACGCATTTTGTACCCCCTTTTTGGTTCATGTATTGAAACCCAAAAGATGGTGCATGCCGATTGAAATAGAGAACCCAGAAACAGAACCACACCACTCGTCAAGAAGTGAGAACCTCCGGAAAGAGGAGAGCCCTGAAATACAGCATAGAAGAATCACACCTTTTGTACCTCCTGCAATCAAAGTCGTGCCGGGTGATCGTGATGAGAGAGCCCGGGGCGCGGTGAAACCGTCCGAAAGGGTATGTTGTACCCCTTCCACGCACGCCAGTTATCTTCCGACCCTTTGTACGTGCGTCCTCGCAAGCAAATGTGCACTGGCCACGTGGCTCTCCGACATAGCGGCGATCGGAGCACTTGTAGAATGTGTGCGTTCCTTTCCTGAGTTTGTTTTGGCTCTCCCTGTCTCTCCAGCCCCTCTCTCTCTCTCTCTCTCTCTCTCTCTCTCTCTCTCTCTCTCTCTCTCTCTCTCTCTCTCTCTCTCCGCTCACTCTCTTTTA